CTGATAAAGGAGGCGGTGTTGTTGTCATGGATACCATTGCTTACAACCAGAAAATGTTGGACTTGCTAAATGACAGAGACACTTATGAACAGATCACCTCTATACAAATTTCTAAGAATCTAAAAAGAATTTAATAGGTCCTATAAGAAACTCATATGTAATGAAGATAAGATTTGGCTTTCCTTATTAACTACCACCCAGACCGTCCCTAAAATTTATGGCCTCCCCAAAAACCCATAAGCTAACATTCCATTAAGGCCCATCATCTCGGTATAGGCTCAGCTCCTCATAATATCGCTAGGTATTTAACTAAATTTCTAACTCCAATTCTGGGCAACGTAAGTAACGCATATAAAAAATTCAGGCTCTCTTTTAAATAAGTTGAGAAATATTGATATAGATAACAAATTACTAGCTAGCTTAGACATCAAATCTTTATATACTACTAATATACCTGTTGATAAATGCATTAAACAATTAGAGAACCACCTTAAGAAAATTGACTTTAAGCTACCTATCTCTATCTCGAAATGCATCAAATTATGCATCCTTTGCACTTCACATTGTTTCTTCCAATATAATAATATTTATTATAAACAAAAATTTGGTTTACCGATGGGGAGTCCTCTCTCTGGATTCCTAGCATGCATATTTCTAGAATTTCTTGAATCTGGACCTTTTAAAGATGTCATTCCACCTGATACACATTACTTTCGATACATCGATGACATTTTATTTATCTACCCACATAAGCATGATTTAAACGAGATTACTGATAGATTAAATAGAATAGAACCTACTATAGAATTTACCTATGAACTTGAATCTAATAATTCCTTACCTTTTTTAGACATATTACTCATTAAAAATAAAAATAAATTAGAATTCAAAGTATATCGTAAACCTACATGTAAAAATGACTATTTACATTTTTACTCTCACCATGATACTAACACTAAGAGGGGTATTGTTATTGGATTCTATTTGAGGGCTCTTCATCTGTTCATCAAAATATTTAAATGATGAATTTACATATATTGAGGATACCTTTTTCAATCTTTCGTATCCGAGACAATTATTACAGAGAGCTAAAAATAAAGCGTTGAAAATTCACTCATCAGCGCAAAATGACACCTCAAAGGCCACTACAACTAGATCAATGAAAGATACAATTTCAGCTGCCTCTGATAATATTTCGTTTGGTCGCATCTTTTTACCAAATAACCATTTGACCGAACGTATCTCTCATAATCTAAATGCATTAAAAATTAGAACTACTATATTACCTACTAGGACTATCCGTAGTTTATTAAATAGCACCAGCAGACAACATATTACATCCGATGCTTGCATCTATCAAATATCATGCAAAAATTGTGACCTAAAATATGTGGGTGAAACAGGTAGGTCCTTAAAATCTCGTGTTTTCGAACATAAACGAGATATTCGTCTCGGTAATTTTAACAATGCTTTAGTTGTACACAAAACTAAAGCAGATAATTTCGATTTCGATTCCGTGAAAGTATTAAAATATTTTCATAATAAAAATCTCAGGAGGATTTATGAAGCAGGTATAATATCCATCTCACGCACGGTGAATACTAGACCTGGTTTCTTTTAATATTTCCCCTTTTTAGCGAGACTGATGCTCGACAAGCATACACATAAGAATTTTAGAACCTAATAGAATTCTTTTTCATTTTTTTTTTTCATTTCAAAAATAATCACAAACTTTTAGGAATACGTTATGAAAGCGTCGCCCATGTGACGACGGCGTGACCATGTTAGACGGAAGGCTGATCATTTTAAAATTTTCAGTTATCTGTTCTGAATAAGACTTGTGTTTTTATGTCCATCGTATTTTGTCATATTGAACTGAATTGTATTTTGATGAATATTGTCTTGAAAAAGGTTTATTAAACCGAAACGTCAGACGTCGACATTTCTTTCATTTTAACTACATTTAAGGATTTTTGTTTGTTTTTTTCAAAATTTCTTCACACATATATATATATATATATATGATTACGATTCCAATGTAATAAATTATAACCATGGAATATTAGTGTTTGAGCCTTTTATATTCTTGCTCTGTCCTAGACATTGAGCTCTATCTGGATTTTATCCTCTTGGAAATTTATATATATATATATATATATATACTATACCATATATATATTATATAATATATATATATATATATATATATATATATTATTTATTAAAGACATTTTATTATGTTTAACGTTGTTATTTTATAGATACATTTGTTTACATTCGTCATTTGTTTACATTTCGATACGCCAGAGCAGTTATGAATGTACGAGATTCATGGAAAATTGGAGTTTATAAGCAGTAAATTCGACCTTGTCTACCGAACGCTTCTTTGTAGCCTAGCGGTAAGGCACGTCAGCGTATATATGACGGTTCCAGATAGGATGCAGGTTCGAATCCTATCAAAGAACGAATATTTTCTATGAAAATTTCTCGGACATTCAGGCGGTAAATGTTATTTAATACTGTTTATCATAAACAGAGCATTTGCTTAAATACTTGTATCTATAAAATAACAACGTTAAACATAATAAAATGTCTTTAATAAATAAATTGTCGGACCTTGTCCATTTCTTAATATATATATATATATATATATATATATATAAATAACAACAAAAATGTTCAGGGACTGATCTGAAATTGTGACTCCAAGTTTCATGCTAAGGCAATCTTCTGATGAAAAAAATATTTATCAAATATAGTGTTTGTTGTCATTACAGCTCTGTCTTAGTTTGATTTCTAGAAACAATGAGCATTATAGATAGTTGTTTAGGTAGGTGTCTGTCCTTTTCATTTTTTTTTTTTTTCATGTTTTTTTGGCAGGTTAATTATTGGTAGGGTTGGTTTTTAGCACTTTCTATTTATCATTTATATATCACAAACTCTCATCAATACAACTGTGTGCGTGTGTGTATAATATATATATATATATTAATTTCAATAAAGGTGCAATTAATTTACAAATTCATGAATTATTCATACAAAAAACAAATACAAAGGTTAATGATTTAATTGGCGAGAAATCCATCGTCGCGAACAATTCAAATAATATACAAAAACCCCGAATCTGTTTATGAATGAAAAGATCCTTGTTTCTATAAATTTCTGTTGCATGAGTTCTTATTATTTTTACAAGCTTTCGTCTGTTCCTACAGACATCCTCAGGTATGGAATAGATTTTGTTCTTGTTTTTACTCTCAGTAATAAGGATCTTTTCATTCACAAACAGGTTCGGGGTTTTTGTATATTATTTGAATTGTTTTGTGGCATTTATGGATTTCTCGCCAATTAAATCATTAACCTTTGTATTTGTTTTTGTATGAATAATTCATGAATATATATATATATATATATATATATATATATATATATAAAAGGGTAAGGAAAAAAATTATCCACACTTTCACCATAACATATCTTTAAGTTTGTCACACTGCCATCTGCTCATGCATGCTTATAGTTGGTACTATTATGGTCACGTGATCAAAGACTGAGCCTGATCACACCCGTTTTCTTTCTGCTGTTACAGTGTAAACATGAGTGATCTGCTATATGTGGGTACCAAGGAGAAGCAGTGAGCAGATTATGCAGAGAACATGCTACCTCATTGATGATAATTTGCCAATCATCATTATCATCTCAAGCTTACTGAATCTTCTCGTCAGTGGTGGAGGTTGACAGGTGTCCTGCTCTTTCATGTATTATGCTTGTCCAGCTACTTTCAAACTTCTCAATCCACTCATCCACACTTTTACATGGTAGTGCACTGTCACCATATTGTTGAAATCCTCCAATGAATTTCAGTTCCTACTATACCTTGCAACCAGAGAAGTCAGATTACTGCTCTTTGTTCCTCCTTGGTGCACACTGTTAGCTGAGTGGTCATGAGATTGTAACAGCTGCAAGAAAACTGTTGAGATTGAGCTCAAACTTTGATCACATGAGCAGAAGGCAATGTGACAAACCTAAGCATATATCATAGCAAAAGTGAGAATAATTTTTGACTTACACTCATATATATATATATATATATATATATATATATACACACATGCTTATAGCCTGACAATTGCATTTAGTATGAAACACTGTCGCCACTGGGTGTTGACTTCAATGTCCACTTTTGTAATTACATACGCTCTATCCCTGATATTGAGCACTTTAATCCATAACTATAGCATACCTTAAAACTAATATATATATATATATATATATATATATATATATATATATATATATATATAGAATTACAAAAGAGGATGATTTTTAACTTCAGAAATGTGCTTTTATATACAATCTACTTACAGAAGTACATAGGTTTGCCAAGATTTCAGTCTTAAATGTTTCATCTTTAAATAACCCACAAAGGGTTGATAATCCATAAGAAAACAAGAACATTGCCAAGATTTCTAAATATCTGAAATTAATATAATCACATGTACTTTGTATCAATTCCATTAAAATGATGAATATCTTCACTTAATCTAAGAATATTGATTCTATCAGAATTATTCTAAGCATTGAAAAGGTAGTTCTATTTTACCTATTATAGCTCACTAATATTCTGCATTCATGATGTCCATGTTATTAACTACAAATATCTCATTAAAAAGTTTTATTTAGTATAGCTTTCAGTAGATAGCACATGACTTCTATGGCTGAATCAGAGGTTAATGTAGATAGCAAGGATGAAATTATGCTTTACTCTATATTATGTTTTAAAAAACTAGTCATACCTAAAATATAAAAAGAAAACACATCTATCCTTGCATTCTCTGGAACACATTGCTTTAAAAGTGTATTGGCAAACATGTTAAATATTAAATTTTGGTATAAATCTTCAAAAATTTAAAAGTTTAATCAGCAATTTATAAAAATTTTTGATTGACATTTTAAAAGCTAGAATGCAAAAGTATAAATGAATAATTGAAAAAAAGAAATACCTTCATATAATCCATTTCTCCAGCTGTCTCCAAGAAAAGATCAACAGTTACAATGGTTGGTAATCCTATAAATCAAATAGAAAGACAAAAGCCATAAAATTAAGTTTTTAACATGAATATAAATATACAAGAGGTCTCTGAATAAGTTCAAATACAGAATTCAGTTCAATAGGAATAAGAAATTGATATAAAGTCTCAAAAACACAAGTAAATGTTTCAATATTTTTTTTGTTTTTACATTTGCTCTATTCAAAAAGAAAAATCCCATGTCTCAATTTGACAGTACCACTCCTCCAGTGTTACCGCAAGTAAAAGCAACCATCTTTATTTTTATATACTTAGATATTCCAATAGTTGGATGTCCTGCCAGTCAATCAAGTTGTCCTGTTTATAGTTTAGAATTTGACCTAAATTAGTGTTCCAGGTAATTTGCAACAACTATAATATCAAGAAAAACAAAAATATTTAATAGAAATAATCAGTATACTTTTAAAAAGATTTGTACATATGTTAAACTTAAAAAAACAAAACAAAAGAACAATTGCCTTCAGCATTAGTACAGCCTCAGAAGTGACTGCACACCAGATCAGGTGATGCTGATTCATATTAGCTATCACATCCTCAACAATGCCCCAAACATTATAGTCCAAAGGATTCAAAATGAGGAGACCTAGGAGGCCACATTCTAGTGGAGGTGACACAATTGTGAAAATTCTCATCCATCTCTAGGTCATGTGGGATGACACAAATTCCTGCTGCTGGAACACATATAGCTACCACCATGTTCAACACTTTAACATCACTAATGACATTGATCCTGAAGATTTGCATAAAGAAATGAAGTGGTATGACATAGCCCTTCATTGCTCATGATTTTCAAGACTATCAAAGATGAGGGGAACTTGGTGTACATTATAGGCAGGGCTGGTGCATCTTACCCGCAAAACGCCTGACCCAGTTAGGGGTGTTTGTGTTTTTTTTTTTAATTTTTTTTGTTTTTTTTTTTGGCCACTTTGTGACTTCTGCCATTTGTTTAATTTTTCTGTTTTAGCACTGTTTTATGGCCATCTGCCATTTTAAAAAATTATTTTTAATCTGACATTATATTGTCAGTCATCAAATAATAATAATACACATTGAGTATCAGCATGGCTGGTGCAGTGAAACCCCAGGAAACCCCAATGAGGTTGGAGTCCCAAAGATGCTAGTCTCAGCAGCATTTTTTGCTTTTTGTACATTTTACGTTTTTCTACCTAAGTTATATTGTCAATTATCTACTATAATAATCAACAAGACTGGTGCTTACTACCCCCAATCTCTCAACTGCACGGGAGGGAGTAATGGGGAGGCCAGAACTGGTAATTTCAGTAGTGCTTATTTTTTTAAATTGTAATTTTCTTTCTGAACAGTTCTTTTAAATCAATTAAGAGGGTAATATATCTTAATAAAATCATTTTTTTTTAAATAGCAATGCTAACCAGAAGTCCATGGTTAGTAATTAAAATCAAAAACTTAAAATGTTTAAAGATTTCAACACATGAAAACTTTTCCCAAAACCTGAAATACTGTTTTTAAAACAAATTTTTAAGACAGTATCATGCTTTGGTGATTAATCTTTATGGAAATTTAAAAAATTTTCAAGTAAAATTTAGTCATGAAAATATTGGTGGATATTACAAAAAGAATAACATTTTCTCAGAATTTTTTTTTAAATAAAAACAAATTATTCATTATAAAAGTAAATAATGAATATGTACTGAAATTTTCATTTAAATTGGATGATTCCCTAATATTTGGTAATTAAAAAAAGTGCCAAACTCCCTCCACCCCAATTTTCTTTGATAGTTTGCGGCTCCCAGGTTAAGAAAGATTGAAATCAACAAGAGCGGTGCCCCTGAGACCTTAGCACCAGCCCTGATTATAGGTGTCTCTGGAGTTCACACAGAGTCCCCTTTTCACCTGGTCACTCTAAGTTGGCTTTCTCTTTAATCAATGTATCTTTTCACTTCTTGTTACATACTGAAAGCTGTTGTGTTAATGCTCTCAATATATCTGAAAGAGAAAGGAGAATCTTAAAATCAGGCTCATGCTGTGTAAGATATATGTATATCATCTCCAATTTGACTCAATAAAGATGCATTCTCAAATACCAGACAAACTTTATACACTGAGCTAACTTGTTAAAATATTAAAATTAAAAATGTTCTATTGCTTTTCATGCTTTTTTTTAATATGTACAGGATAGATATTTTAACAAACTTAAGATGGAACTCACCCTCAAGCTAATTTGAGTAATTTCATTTAATTCCATATATCACTTTAGGGACTTTTTTACTGAATACATATTTTAATCATTATGTACTTGTTTATCTACTAAAATATTTTACCAAAAGTACCTATTTATTACTTCAGATAATTATTTTATATCTTTAACTCAGTTACACAAGGATTTAAAATAAATACAATTTCACTTATCTAGTCAGTTCATATTTTGTTTCATTTTAGAAATGCTATAAATATTGCAAACCAGTCTTTTCACTGCCTTGATAACTTTTTTTTTCCCCAAAGTTCTTTACTTGATTTCTGTTTAGTTATGATTTAACTCAACTAATCCAGGTGTAATTGTCTGAATTTTATTATAATTCTGAATACGTGAGTATCATATCAGTACATGTACAGAATAATTGCAAGAGAAAAAGGCACAGTGTATCATGTTCACAATACCTTTTCACTGATTATCTTTAAAACCCTCACAGAAAGCATGCCATTTAGCAGTGAATCCCATGCCAGTTTCATTTAAGTAACTACAATTTTTAAGGTTCCTTCCTATTATTGATAGAATATAATGAAAATTATAACAATCGTAACTTCACATAAGTTTAAAATCAATACATTGTTTTCTGAATTAGATTCAATACTGAGATCTATATTTTCATGTTAATATTTTATTTTTTATATTGTAATTCATATGCAAATAGTTTTGTTATAAACAATGCTGCCCCACTCCTGCAAAATAATATTTCAATATTAACCTACATATAAGGCAACCAGTAAATTTGAGACAAAGTTGGTACAACATTTTCACATGACACATACATAAATATAGTAAGTAAAAATAAGTAAACACCATGAGCTTACCTGTTTCAGCATCTGGTCTGACAGGAGAGCCATAAGTTTTATTCATCAAAATCTCTAACAAGTTTTGTTTTATATTCTTTGTTGTGGAAGCTCTCACCTTCCTATAAATATAGTGAAAAGAATAAAATGTTTTGCATTGCCATTCTATTTGAACACTCAAGTTTCTGTATTTACAAGCCAGAATAACTTTAAAAATCAGTAACTTATTGTTATAAAATGTTTTGAATTTTTTTTAACAAATGCTTTAATTTGTGAATTTATAACATCTTTATCTAGTCATCAATATCAGGTTACCTTTGTAGCAAATTACATATTCTATCATAAAATCTAATTCCAGTTTTGATTTGAGAAATTCTTTTGGATATTCTATGTCCATAACTTGTTAGAACAACTGACCAGACATGTAGTGAAACATGATAATTTGAAGGTGACAAGTACAGAGATTATGCTACATGGAGACAAACTTCCCATCACAACTCCATGATCATTTACTGTATCACCTTTCCAACATAAAGACAGGCATTTATCACAATCACCAGTCTATTTCATTTATCAAGTTTATGAATCTTTCCTAAGGTTTGCAATTACTGGTTGTACAAGCAAGTAAATCTCAAAAATACTAAGATTTTACAAAAGATGTTGTTGGAAATGTGCATCGGCTGAATCTACAGACAGATTAATCTTTATTGAAAATAAACCTGTTTGGACAATTATAGGCCTTTATTCAAAACCTATAAGATTTTGACTTATTGTCAGAACCATTTTGATGCCCCAGAAAACTTCTGCTTGTTTCAAATATAAAACATTTTTGTAGTCATACATTTATTAAGAACAATTTAAACTTAATATTACTAAAACGTTTTGATTGTTTATAAGCAAAAATGTCAAGTATTTTCAATTAAACCACAAATGAGTCATTTGACGTAATGCAAAATTAGTAATAATCTTACTTATTATAAAACGCAGATTGTGTGTGTGTCTGTAACGTTTATATATTGGATCGGATTTCCTACATTTTTTAGCCGATTTCAACAAAACTTCTCAGGACTACATAAAATTACCTTGTGGTGGTTCTAACAGCGCCAAAAATGGGAAAAACACAATTGTTTTTGAACAAAATCAATTTGAAAACACAATTAAGACACATCGTGAGAATGAAAGGGGGACAACTCACATCATGTTAAAAAACCCACGTTGTTTGTGTGTGTTCCTTTATATATGGGATTGGATTTCTTACATTTTTCAGCCGATAAAACAAACATTCACTTTTTCTTTTCTTTTTTTTTTCTTTTTTTTTTTTGGCAGGTAGTGTTTCTTATTGTTTTGCACACTTTTTTTTGTATTTATACATTCAGAATGCTTTAAAAATTCCATTTACAAGACAATTATTTATAATCAAATTCTATTCAATCGGGAGACTCATCATAACGATTGAAAACAATGTTTTTGTTTGAGTTTGGGTTTGACCAATTCGTAAAAAAAAAAACTAAGACATGCGTGTCCGTCAACCTTAAACAATAATCTAACGATCTCTACTGATTGTACGAATCCAAACATCAGATAATTCTTTATCTTTAGGGAAAGATAATTCCACGTACTTTAGGGCCGTTTTTACAATTCGCTTTGCAATTTGTTACAAGGCAGATCAATAAGGCATTGGTTCTATTTGAAATGAATTCAATATTTAAAAGAAAGTATTAAGAAATAATTTAAAAATGTCGACGTAAGAAATCTGATAGACAAAAAACAACAATATTTCGAAGATGATAATTATTAAGGAAAGAACACAGTACTTACCTTGTAATAAATTAATAAACCCCCAAAAAATAATATTTTTTGTATTAGAAACAACGAGTGGAAAATATATTCAAATCAGAATTCTAATTCTAAGCAAAATATGCAATTTTTTTTACTGTATTCAATAAGTAAAAATCATAAATTGTAAAAGATTACAGAAAGGCTACCTACATTTTTCAACCGATTTCAACAAAACTTCACTTTTTTTTGGCAGGTAGTGTTTCTTATTGTCTTGCACAATTTTTTCTTTATTTTTACATTCAGAATGCTTTAAAAATTCCATTTACAAGACAATTGTTTATAATAAAATTCTATTCATCAATCGATAGACTCATAACGATTGTAAACAATGTTTTTGTTTGAGTTTGGGTTTGACCAATTCGTAAAAAAAAAAAACTAATTAAGACATGCGTGTCCGTCAACCTTAAACAATAATCTTTGTCAATTTTATTTTCAGTCTTTATGATGGTCGATACTTGATCTATCTCTTACTGTTATATCCCCGGGCAATAATATTTTTCAAATCTAACAGTGCAAGATATTAACAGTAAACTCAATTTTTATTTGTGCTCTAGAAATATGCCTTTTCACCAAAATTGACTCAATTACATAAATAAATTAATCAAATAAATTACTAAACAAAATGAATGAAAAATGAAGATTTTAGCAGCTTTTTTTTTAAATTTAGAGATGTAAAGTTTGTACTTAATAAACATCGAATTACATGGCATATAAAATCCTTTTGACTACCAGGAGTAAAAATGAAGGTTTTAGATGATATCAAGTAAATATTGGGTTGGAATGAGTTTGTAGCATTTAAATGCATGATTTCATTTCACATGTGACCAAAATTTATGACATACTCTGAAAGGTGGCATTTCAACATGTCTTTCTGTATGACCTGTGTGTGGATTGTAAATGTTTTTAGGTTAAAAGTAAAAATGGAAGAAAATGAGATACATTTTTATTATTAGAGGCTCTTAAACACTTACAGACAACAAAAAAGATTTGTGCCATTTATGGAGAAAGTGCCATAGCTAAGAGTAGTGTTCATGAGTGATACACTAGGTTCAGAATTGAAAATTTTGATCTAGCTATCTGAGAACATTCTGACAGGACTGTAGTTGTTGATGATGACTATATCAAAACACTGATTTGAAATAATCTAGTTTACACAACATCAATGATATGCTCCACATTTTATATGAGCATTGTAAGGCATTTAAAAAACACTTGGATATGTGAATTGTTACAATATGGGTGACTTATGATTTAATGGAAAAAAATTAATGGACTGCATTTCTATCTACAATTCCCTGTTCAATGCAGCAAGACAACCCATTTTTGAAAAGAACAATCACGAGTAATGAAAAATAGATTGCTTACAACAATGATGAGAAAAAAAAAGTTTCTAGGGAACCTCTCCAAAAGCTGTTATCCATCCAAAAATGCTGATGCTGTCTATCTGATGAGTTTGGAAGGGCATTCTGCATTACAAGACATTAAATTTAGGCAAGTACTGTTCCCAATTGGACCAATTAAAAGGTAGCAATAAATGAAAAGTATCCAAAATTGGCCAATTGAAAGTGTGTCACCCTTCTATCAGAATTAATTATCTCACACATATTTGCAGAATAAACAGAAATTGCTATATCTTAGCTGGGATGTCCTACTACACCCGCAATACTCAACTGATCTTGTACATTTAAATTACCACTTCTTTCAATCCCTACAAAATTTTATTAATGGGAAGAACTTCAATTCTCTGGGGGCCTGTTAAAACTATTTAGACCAATTCATCACTCAGAAAGATGCCATGTTCTGGGATGATGGAATCATGCAGCTGTCTCAAAGATGGTGAAAGGTAGTGGAACAAAATGATATATATATATATATGTGTGTGTGTGTGTGTGTGTGTGTGTTTGAATGAATCTATGTACAAATATCTAAATATTGTCTTTGAGATTAGCTTAAAAATGCTAGAATCTATTGTTCCAACCTAATATATCTTGATAAAAATTTAATACTTGAATATTTGTTTCCACTTTGAAAATGACACTGTAACCATTTTGAGAATATAATAAAAGCTACTAATTGAAAAAATAAGCAGCATGTAAAGAAATATAAATATCTGGGAAATGTTTTAACAAGTGACGGAAAATGTGACACAAATTCAAAAGTGCATTCAAATAAAAAAAAGTTAAAGTATTAAAAAACAAGAAAATCTTATTAGAAACAAAGAAAAGATTGCTGATTTCACTTCTTACATATTCACTTACCAGAAAATGAGTAAAGACAATTTAACCAATCATTTTTTTCAATAAATGTAAGTTTTTAAAGCCAAAAATGAGTATTTGTACATAAGTACATATCATGCATGTCTTTGATAGGTGAAGTGTACACTTGCAGTCAAGATCTTATTGTTCTTAATTTAGATGCTTCTTTTATGAAATGCATAAGTTCATTTCTTTGTATCACATATATATATATATACATATATATATATATCATGTGATCTGTCCGTTCAATCAAATAATGCAGAAATATACCAGTTCAGTTTAAAAAACTTTTAATTTTTCCCCACCCCAGGAAAAAGGGTAAAACTTTCAATATTTTTTTATTAAGATATGAACAGGTAGAGGGTATTACATATTATTTAAAACTATTTAATCAAAAAGTTTTGTGTAATTATCAATTTTCTAGGAATATCTTTTTAGTGAAAATTGTAATTCACTATTAATTTCAAATGAAAAGAAATGCTTTAAATAAATTTGATACAAATAATTGTATATACATACACCATATATCCTTGCTTGATATTACTTGACATACAGAATCCCCCTTGCTTTAAAAAAACAGTACAGACTTGTCAGTAGCTAAATACTCTTTGTGGAAAATTTTTTCACATTGATAACAGCTTAGCACTTGGGCCTTATTATCATTGAATTACACATGTAGAGTTTTCCATTCCAATAGAATTATTAAAAGATCTATTGGTACTAAGTTAACTTTTGACAGTAGAGTTAATATACTTTAGAGGAATGTAAGAAATATTTGTAGCAGGAAGATTTACTACTTGTTATGGCTGAGATGAAAAACTTTAAATATAAATGAATTCAACACATGGAGGATTATTTTTTCATAAAAGAGAAAATTATACTTGCATGTATGCAGATAGCTAAAAAAAAAAAGAGAAAGAAAAACATTTATCTGTTTTAGCAGCTTTGGTGTGTGTGATGTGGTTGGGTGAAAGGCAGCTCCTTGGAAAAAGACTGGACAACATCCTGACTGCATCTTGTGACTT